CCTAAAAAATCGCGCCCCCAATGGAATGTAGAGGGGTGGAGAGGGGGGGGTGGGGGGGGGGGGGGGGGGAAAGGGAGGCATCTGGACAAATGTGAGGATGTATTTTTTTTTCTTTTTTTTTTCTTCATTTATTTATTAATACAGTTCTTGAGGGGCAAACAGGATTTGGATATGCGCGCTAAAAGTGTGGAGAAGTGAGTTTTTTTTTTTTTGTTTGTTTTTTTTTGGTGGGACGCGCAGGATGGACACTGCGGAGGTAATTCTCTCCGTGCTGGTAGTTGTGATCATCATAGTGTCGCTGCTGTCCAACGTCCTGGTGCTGATCTGCTTCCTCTACAACCCGGAGATCCGTAGGCAGGTGCCCGGTCTGTTCAACCTCAACCTCACCTTCTGCAACTTGTTGCTGACCGTGGCCAACATGCCGCTCACTCTGGTGGGACTCGTCAGCAGGGCTCAGCCGGGGGGAGACGGCTTCTGCCAGATCGCCGGGTTCCTGGAGACCTTCCTGTCCACCAACTCCATGCTGAGCATGGCCGCCCTGAGCATCGACAGGTGGATCGCGGTGGTGTTCCCCCTGAGGTACCACTCCAAGATGCGCCACAAGGACGCAGCGCTAGTGCTCGGCTACACGTGGGCGCACTCCATGTCCTTCTCCACCGTGGCCGCCTGTCTCTCGTGGGTGGGCTATCACCGGCTGTACGCGTCCTGCACCCTGTCCAACGCCAGGGCAAGCAGCAGGACCCAGTTTGTTGTCTTCACCGTGTTTTTCCACTCCTTCACCTTCCTCCTGTCTTTTATAGTGTTATGTTTCACATACCTCAAAGTTCTTAAAGTGGCCCGGTTTCACTGCAAGAGGATCGATGTTATAACGATGCAAACTTTGGTGCTGCTTGTGGACATACACCCCAGGTGAGCTCCTATAGGATACACGTAATGCTTTTTGTTTCCCCTCCCGCCCCCTTTGCTTTTGTGTGAATTTATGAATTGAGTTTTATATCAAGGTAAATGTACAAAATGTTCAATCTGCCTTTTTTTTTTTTTTTTTCAAATTCTCAACAGTGTTTGTACCAAAGATGCAGGGGCATTTCCCATCGTAAAGTCGCTGGCCCTAGAGCTGACCCAAGGTTTTGAGGCTCTAAGCAGAGTCTGATTTGACAACCACCTCCAGCCAAACCCACATCTGAGTTTAATCTTTTTTTTGTTGTTGTTTTCCTTTGGATTCTACATTTTTTCCATATTCTATGCTGTGTTCACAAGCAACAACTCTTGGGGAAAAGACAGGCAATAAATTATAATTTTACTGAAATATAAATGTATTTCAGTAGCTAAATAAAACATAATATAAATATGAATTACACACAAATGTGTGTTTTCAAGCCTTATTTTCAATTAAATAAAAATCCTTTTATGTGCATCTTAATGGTATAAATATAGTTGTTTTGTGAAGAAGAAGATTGCTGGAGAACATCTTAAAGACTAAGCAATGCAGTCCGTGGTAACTTGAGAGGTGTTGCAGAGAATCATAGCTCAGATGGGTTAGTATAATATGGCAAATATTAGTAATTTCTGTATTATGTCAAGATATACACATTGCAGTTTGCTACAAGCCGTGCATGGTGGCAGAAAACATAATGAAGAACATGCTGTGCTCAGATGAGTCCAGAGAAGCAATAACTATTTGATCAATGTGCAAAGACAATATTTGCAGGACACAGTAGAACATTGCATATCGCCACAAAAATACCATGTTTACTGGGAAACATGATGGTGGCAAAGTTTAGATCTACGTTTAATGGCGTGTGAATGTGTTGCAAATTTTCAAAGCTTCTGCTTCTAGTTTTTGCAGAGATTTTGCAGAGAGGAATGGAAAATATTGTCAGTCTATGGATGAGAGAAGCTGCCAAGAGACTCGCTGCTCTAGCTGCAGCGGAAGGTTGTTGATCAGTGTGCTGACTCGGGGAAACTGAAAACAAACGCAGGCCACACTTTTCAGATCTTTTTAGGAACGAGATTGGAAAAACATATGTAGCGTTTCCACCACTTGTGGCCTCATGTTTCGTTTAGGTCAGCTTAAAGCAATTTGGCAACAAATTCAAACACAGCCTCACATTTTCACAAAGGATTCCAACGCAGCTCCTAAGAATGCGAGTTTGTTTTAATAAGGCGGCTTAACTGCTTTCGACTCCTTAGATTTAATATCCTCAATATACAGAAATCCAGAAGTAATCCCAGTAAACCTCAGATTTTGCCCCACTGGGAATAAACTGGCTGTCTTTCCTTTCCAGCGTCCGCCAGCGGTGCCTGGAGGAGCAGAAGAGGCGGCGGCAGAGAGCAACGAGGAAGATCAGCACCTTCATCGGCACCTTCATGCTCTGCTTTGCTCCCTATGTGATCACGAGGTGAGTGTAGCACGCACAAAACGCTGCAGAGCCTTTTGGTTACCTTCCTCCAACACGCCAGCCCTCCCACTCACACTTCCTGCCTGCTTCCTCTCCATGCGGGCTGAGTTCGGAAGATGAGAGTGGCTGACCTTGTGATAAGTAATACGCCTCTGTCCGGCTGTTGTTGCTGCTGTATTGGCACTTTTTTCTCCTCAAGTTCGTCTGGTGCATCCCCACTTTGTTGAATTCGCTGGCATCAATCACTGCTTGAAGAAGGGATGCCAAAGAAGGCCACGGGAGAGAGAGAAAGAGGACTTAAGTGATGCAAGGTGAAAGGATGAGAATGTGGAAAACAAAATCTGTGTAATGGGAAATAAATCATTATTTAGTTTACTACTTTGAATAATTAAATGAATACAAAAAAAAAACCAAAAAAAAAAAAAACAAGATTGAGACCAAATAATATTTCTAATCTATCAAAGTCTTCTTTTAAATGAGGCTCATGTCTCTGTGTCAAGGAAAGAAATATTTCCTGGCATTATTTCTTGTTTGGAACATAACCAGATAAATTCTATCTGCGGTTTTGCGTCTGAAAATAAATTTGATTTGACTCCAAAGGTTGACTGTAATTTTCTGGAGGGCAAACATGAGTCATGGAGCCTGTTCTGCAAATCACCTCTTGGGATATTTGGATTCCTGCAAGATTCCAAGCTCTTGCCCATCCATGTGTATGCCTTTAAGCATGTAGCGGTTATTAGCAACATGGTATATACCAAGGTTTTAAATAGTTACTGTTGCAGAGCTGCTAATATTTTCCTTGATATTATGGAAAATCTGTTTACAGAGAGGTCACGGAGAGTGCCACAGTGACTGGAGTTTTCTCTTGCAGGAGTTGGAAGTATAATGGCTCTGCCTCTCTATTGCTGTGCACTGCTGGGCAGCTAGCTGAAAGAAGGCAACTGCACTTTTCTCTTGCTAAGATGTCTGATAGTTTTGTTTGGTAATATGTTACCAAAACTGACCTGTAGAATCAGACAAAATGAAACTGTCAATAAGTGGCAAGTATGTGGTAGCAAGTGAACATTTTATCAGTTTGACAGAGCCAAATTGATAAATCGTGATAAACCGAATCAGAGCATTTGCAAAGCTACAGCTCTTCTTGGGTGTTCTTAGCCTGAAGTGACAAGTGTGTATCAATATTGTTAAGTACCAATGCATGTAAACAGGAAGGTGGGAAACCACAGTCTGTGACATTGTTTGGCACAGTCTTTACACAAGAACAACGACCAAACATGAAAACAATCTATCACTGAAGATAAAACCTCTTTTTGCACATTCAAAGTTTCCACACTGTGATAACTTTATTGACTACACAGACATTCAGAGGTAATCACACACAGTAATATTTTAAATTGTGGTAAATATTGGTCTATTCTGAAGCTTTCTGGAGCTTAAAATTGAACTTACTGACAAACGTTTTAGAAAAAACATCTTTATTTTGAAGACTGGGTGCTTTTTTTCAGGATGAGGTTGTTGTCGCTAAACCTAAAAGTTCAACACGGACACGTCGAAGGGAGTGAGCGGGAAGATATTGTTATGTCTGAAAGGTCAACTTTGATGTGTTTTTTCTACACCATCCTATGGTATTTTTACTCTCTGTTTCATACGGCTGTAATCGTACCTCTGCCCATGCCTAGGCCGTTGACAGTCCAAATGAATTTTGCACCACAGTGTCTCCTGCTATCAGCTATAATTTAATAGGAATGTAATGGTAGAGGTGTGGTCCCCAACTTTGGAAGCAAGTGTCCTGCAAATTGAAAATGTTTTCCTGTTCCAGGGGCAGCTAGGTCAAACCTCTTTGGCATGCGTTCAAGTACGGCAGCCCGTCAATAACCCTAGTGATTTCACTTAAATGTGCTGAAGCAGGAAAGTTTCTTAAAAAAAAAATATTTCAGGACACCAAACCTTAAGAACCAGTGTTGAAGACTACTGCTGCACTGCATTTGTGATCCATTTGAAAGCGAAAGGGCTGAATTTTATGGGTTTTGAACTCAGTGACCAGGTAACATGGAAGCTGATGGTTTGACTGAGAAAAGCTAAAATAAAAAACATTATGGCTGTGTCCATATGCATGAGGCATCCATGTTGGATTTGAAGGTCAAGGAGAAACCTCAAACTTTTTTCAGTTGGAGTTTTGACTTCGGGGGCGGCGGGGTGTTAGATTACTTTTATATCTTAGAACCTCGAAACTCCATCTTCGGAGTTCAAATAGAACACACCATTATAAAGTCTGTTGCATGTCTTCCTTGAAGCAAGTAAAAAAGAAAAAAGAAGAAAACTGAATGAAAGTTTTTTCTCTCAAGGGAGTAGATGTTCTTCCTTGTCTATATGGCTTCAAAAGGGTTTTTAATTTTTGATTTTAGCTACAACAGAATCAGAATAGAGTTTGTTCCAGACAACTTTTGTTAGATGCGATTGTTTCTCTCTCTTATTTTTGATTGAAACTGAACCAAACAAATAAGCGACACCTTGGCCCAGAATATATTATGCCATGCAAATAATCTGAAGAATTGCATAAAAAAAGGAATTATAGTTTAAATTTTATATCATATTGTTTTGTGATGTTTACAATTTGTAATCTGTAAGTTTGTCTATGTAACGTTTTCTATTAACAAACCAAGAGTATTTATAAGTTTCCATGATGCTGCCGGCTTTCCTGATCGAAGCTTTCCTTCCCCAGATGTTTTTTTTTTTTTTTTTTTTACCATAAGCAGATTTGCCTTTCCATCTCCAGAAGACATCGAGCAGTGTTATGTCGGATGTTATGTCAGATGTTCCCAGCTTGAGATGTTGTAGAAATAAATCAGAGTGTCACTTTTTTGGTCAAAGGTCCCTCTTCCCTGGAGGTCTGTGGATATTTGCCCAGTTGTCCCAGACCAGAGAAACAGAAAACTAGACAATTCACATTTATACTTATCTAAATCCAGACTCAACTAAGAACAGCTTTGTGTGTCAGGGCATTAAAAGCAAGAAGCCAGAATTCTTGCTTTATCACAGTTCACATGTCAGTAAGATGTGGTAAGATGCAACTGGCTCACAGACTGAAAAATAACTTGGTATCAGCTGTCTTCATGCAGTGTTTGACCATCAGTTGCATTGATTTTACAATTCTCTAGATCTTTAATACTGTTCTAAAACATACTCCAAAGCATTTTGGTGATGGAGGAAGGAATACAAGCTCTTTGAAATTAAATTAGCTTTGGCTTTGTTATTAAACTATTCCAGGCTATTCAACAAGCTTTCCATCTGCTCAAACAACGAGACAATTTGTTGTGTTATCGATACTCTGCCAGTAATAAAAATTAAAAAAAAGCACCACAAGGCGGCACATGTTTTCCCTCTTGAAAATGGCAGATTAGTATTTCAATATAAATTTGATATGATGAAAATTCATCCCAGTGAAGCAAACGTCTGTCAAATCTACCTATAAGGCTAGCATTAATGTACTGACACAGCTCTACTTTAAACACAGTAATCATCCAGAGTGCAGTCACTTAGAATCTGTCATTTAAAAAAAAAAAAAAAAAAAGTTTTACAAGACTGAGCAAATGTGAAAGTCGGTAAAGTTGAAGCAAATTTTCATGCTTGCTTCCTGGGGAATCATTAGTTGCCCCATTAATTGGTGAGTTGAACAACTTTCTGCCCTTTGTTTTGTTTTTGATTTTTTTTTTTTTGCTAATAGCTGATTTGAGGCAATGACATGGAAAAATCCCTAATATTATAATAGCTTGGTTAATGCTTACAAATTAAAGGACTGCTTGTATAATGAACCATTAATACTTCATAGTCATTTTATTATATCCAGACAGCTTTGAGTTTGTATTTACAGCCGGCTCCAATACTTTTGGATATTATTTCATGATGAACATATCAATTACACACAGACTGTTGTTTTCAAGCTTTAGTTTTTATTTGTAATTATGATTTCCTACATACAGCAAGTGAAAGCATTTGAGATTATAATATTACATCAGACCAATAAAAATAAATGTTAATACAAAAATGTTAATGAAAACTATGTTCAATACCTGCTAAAAGGCTGTAATTTCCAAATTGTACTTTCAATTTGACAAACAAGCCCAGTGCATAAGAAACCTCAAATTGATCCAAATAGTAATTTTCCTTAAAATGAAACTATTTAGATCTGTCTTACAATACCAACGCAGCTTCTTGTAAAAGTATTCACACCCCTGAGGAATTTCACATTTTATCTAATTTCAATCACAAAATTCAGTTTGGATTTTCTGACATAGACCAACACTAAATAGCACATAACGATCAAGTGGAAGGAAATGATGCATGGCTTTGGGCACCTTTTACAGATAAAAATCTGAAAGTTGTTGGTTTCGATACCCCTGAATAAAATCCATTTAGGATGAAATATCTTTATAGGTCATCCGCTTAGCACATTGAATCAGTTTCTATTTAAATTTCATGATGAATATAGCTGTTCTGTGAAGGCCTCAGAGATTTGTTGAAGAACATCATGGAGCAAACAGCATCTTAAAGACCAAGGACCACAGCACATAAGTCACGGATGAAGTTGGTTGAAGTTTAAAGCAGGGTTAGGCCATGTAACAACAGCCCAGCTTGGAAAATCCCAGATCACTGTTCAATCGATTTCATAATCTCAAAATAGATAAATTATGACTCAGCTGCCAACCCGCCAAGACACAGACGTCCATCTAAACTGACGGTGTGGGTAAGATGAGAGAAACAGCTCAAAGACAACTTTTAGTTAAGTACTCTATAATTCTGCCTTTGTGAAAGAGTGGAAATAAGGACATTATTGTTGAAAAAAATCCTATAAAATCATCTTTCCGTTTTGCCACAACCAACTGAGACTAAACTTTGTGACCTGCATGCCACAGGCTATATGTGATGGAAACATGCATGTTGATAAAATAAAATTGACCATACACTGAAAAATCCTTTAAATGTAAAGCTCGACAAAGATGACTTAAATGATATCTATTTAAAAAACGGCCTACATGTTGATAAAGTTTGCATATTTCTATTTCATAATGCAGGTACTGCTTTGTCTTTTGTTATAGCCTTTGCTAAGCCAAGGGGAAAGCCCTTGATTTATCAATCTATATATGTACTACCCCTCCACACAGTCAGTTGAGGTCATTTGGAATCTGATTAGTGTTCCTCTTGGATGCCTCCTATTGGACGTTTTTTGTGCACATCCCATTTAGAGGAGAAAGAAAGTGCTGAGGGACGATGTTTGGATCTCTTTTACTCCTCGGGATCCTCCAGAACGAGCTAGAGAGTTTCACTGGGGAGATATATCTCAGACAAGTCGAAGAAAATGGATGGCACTATAAAGATATGCCATATAAATTATTATCCATCCAGCCATCGTCCATTATGCTTGCAGGGTTGCGGGAGGCTGGTGTCTATCTCCAATGGTCATTCGGCGAGAGTCGGGGTACATCCTGGACACATCGCCAGTCCATTACAGAGCATTTATAGATTATTATTCAAATAAAAACAGAAATAAAATAAGTACAATAATCTCTGTAGGTTGCACATAAAGAGGAAAAATTAAGTTGGAGAAATAAAAAATAAAAAACACAAGTAAACACTTAAATTAGTAGAGCTGCACTAGAAAAAAATACCTTCTCAGTTTCCAGCAGTGTTTTGCCTACATGTCTCTGCATTGTAAGCTCCAGGCATGCATTTCTTTTCCAGTATGTCGAATTGCCTTTCCCACCTCTTGCTCTCACCACCCTCTCCGTCTGTCCACCCTCAGGATTGTGGAGTTATTTCCAGCAGTGCCGATCGACCCTCACTGGGGAATCGTCTCCAAGTGCTTGGCTTACAGCAAGGCAGCGTGCGACCCCTTCGTGTACTCCCTGCTGAGGCACCAGTACAAGAAGACGTACACGGACATCCTCAACAGGCTGCTGAAACGGAGCTCCCTAAACGCGTCCGGGCGGCGGCCGGAGCAGCAGGGGAGCAGCATACCCACAGCTGAGTGATGGAGGTTACTTGGTAGCACAGACGGAAACACGAACCTTATTCATTGTTGATGAGGACGAGGATAAATATTGCTGTTTCTTGTCCGCGTCTGCTTAGATTAGTTCTGACATTACAAAAAACAAAAAAAAAAACACTAAGGTAAAAGAAAAAAGAAGAAATCACTACTGACAAGGGCAAACCTCTGCACAGGAGTACCAACAGACTGCCCAGAGCTGCAGATCAGTGCAATGAACTCGCTGTGAGGACAATAAACTGCAGATTATCCATCTACCTGGGGTGACGGATGTTGGTCAAGCAGGAAATATGGTCAACTATTAGCACCGGCCGTGACAGCTAGGGTAGGATATGACATTTAGCTACATATTTACTTTGTCGCATATTTGTTTTAAAATATATCTTGTGTACGGTGCTGCAGTGACTAGTTTATGCACTGTTGAATTATGTAGCACTGAAGATAACATTTTCCGTAATAAATCACAAAGTTTCTCAAATTTATTCCTGTCTACATCACGGCAAACGCTGCTGCAGTGCAATCTGACTCAGGAATTCGGGCTTAACTAAATCAGACTCCAAATTAAGCAGATAATCCGGACACTCGTTTATTTCACATTCTTCAGAAGATTGTTGTTTCCGAATTTTCTCTTCTTTGTTTCTTAAACACGTCTTGTAAAGCTCTCAGTGACGTGGACAAACTGAAGTTTTGAAGGAAACACTAAACCAGTTGCCGTTAACTGTAGTTGTCATTGTTTAGCCAAGTTGGTATGCATGCATTGGTATTCGCGCTTTCTGAGTACTAATTGAAAACCTGGAAAAAAAAAAAAAAAAAAACTTCTAGGCTACAGTTAATTGTTTTTGAAACACCAAACAGAAGTACTTTAACCAAAAACCAGAAATAAATGGAAGACCAGAAAGCTTCCAGTCTTAAACATCACAAAATACATTGCCCATCATCTACGGATTACATTTTTCCTCTTGTTTTTATATCTTTAAACACCTCTGGTGAAGCTCTGAGTTTTAGGAGGAATGATTGAGCCAAAACCTATTAAAGCTATCATTGCCTGTTTAGGTTTTAGACACTCTGAGATATTTTGTCCACATACTACATTATGTACTACATTGACATGGTAGTAGCATGTTTTTGTTTTGGGGCTCAAAAGTAGAAAATAGGTCCTATAAGTGAGAGTGTCTGAGACCCAAATCTGCTTGAGCATAACCTGAATTCCAATTTCAGAGATCTCACATCAACCTTGACAGCAAAAATCCCTAATGGATGCCTCACGTATGAAAACCAGCTAATGCTAATCTCTTCATTTGCATTAACGTTGATTTATATTTATGTGGATTAGTCACACACATAGTACACATCTGTCATCACAGAACAAGGTAACAACAATTATTTATTGTTAATAGTTGTTAGCTGGGTCACAGAAGAGTTAGCAAGTTGCACTTTTTTTTTTTTTTTTACTAAGCTGAAACTGGACACCATCAACCCTTAATACAAAACTTGTGGTTATGCTTTTTTTGTTTTGTTTTTTTATTTGTAAGCACCTACTGTGAAGCTTTTAGTGACCTGCCCAAATTTGAAGTTTTGAACAGAAACAAAAACGTTGTGCCGTTTTTTTTTTTTTTTGTTTTGTTTTTTAGACATTAATTCTTTCAGGCTCATCATCATATAAAGGATGCCATGAATACTGTCAAACTGACAAAAGATTTAGCAGAATAGTCAAATCTGAGCAGCTTTTACAGGTTCAGAATTACATGATGTTAATATTAATAAAAGAGTTTCCATCTGTCCAAGTCAACTGTTTCATTAAAGGCACGTGGGACAGAATACTTCCAAAACAGCTACATATTTCAGAAATGTTTGCACAAAGTAATCCATCTCATGCACAACTTTTGACCCCCAAGAAATGCACTGTGCTGTCTTTATCTGCACAGTCACCCAATCTCTCTGCATTTCGCCTCTATCTGCTTATTTTGCTGTGTGTTCAGGTTTTTTGAGCAGAGGTTGTGTAAGTGTGATAACCACCACAAAGGATGACTTAACGACGGTGTTTTAACTGGCTTCAGCTTCAGCTGCTGATGTTGTTTGTTCTTTTTTTCTGTTTGAAACATTGACATGTTTTTTTTTGTGCTTTAGAGTTGTTTACAGTTTCTTTCTCTAAAACATATTTTTGTAAATTGGGTGACCTCAGTTTTGCTTGTGAGTCAGTGTGAAAATGTAGACTGAAGTAGTGTTTGAGAAATATCCTAGTCTGCTTTGTCTTAAATTAATATCATAACATAAAGTCAGCCTGAAAGACTAATTTTTTACTGAAAGGGACTATAAACATTTTAAGATTTAAATTGTTTGATGGGGATTTTATAGGACATTTTAGAGTAATACCGGAAGCGATGCAAATGTTTTGGAGTTTTGCAAATTTTGTTACGTCGTTGAATTGGGCATCGGTCCACCAGCTTTGCACATCTAGATGGTGAAATGTTTGCCCATTTTTTGGGCTGATCTCAGCCAACACAACACAATGTAGAGATTTTTCCTTCTCCCAGGATTGCCCTGTTTTTAGATTAGTCCAGGTTCCCTTTAACTCTGACCAGCTTCCCCTGTCTTTGCTTTAGAAAACTAAAACCTACACCACAACATGATGCTGCCACCACCATGTTTTACTGTGAGATTTAATGACATTTTCAAGATGATGTGAAGAATTGTGTTTCTGCCGCATCTCATCCAGTGACCAGAAAGGTCAATTGTTGTTTCTAAGTAGAGCCTCATCTTCTACATGTTTGTTTTGTTCCCACATGCCTCGTGGCAAACTGGACTTTTTGTAGCTGTCTTGAAACAATGGGTTTCTTTTTGCTACTCTTTCATAAATGCCAGATGTCTGCAGTGAACATCTGATAGCTGTACTGTTGACATTTTTTCCTGCTTTAGCTGCAGCGGCTCTCTCCAGCTCCTTCAGTTTCCTTCCTTCCCCACTGGCTTGAGTATGAATTTATTTGTTTTAATCATGGCTTTTGTTCATTTGGTCAGTGCCTGCTGTGGAAGAGCTTCATAAATAAGCTCAACATGGCTTTGATTACTTCTGTAAGTTTACTGTAAGATTACATTTTCCTCAAACCCAGACAGCTCAATGAGTGAAACCTCAACATTTAATTTGTACATTTCCACTTACTGGTGTTCCACTGGTGTTCTCGTATGTAGTTTTAAAACAGGCGTTTATGCAAAATGCATTAGGTTTTACAATATTAAATTCATTATGAAGGAACAATAAAAAAATTTTACTAAGAGAAAAATATTCATGCTTTCATCCATTTAGTTCACTTAATGTACATTGCATCAATTCAGAGAAGACGTAACCTCAAGTAACTTTAAAGAAAAAAAGTCTAATTTCCATACAGAATATTCAATCAAATTTGTCTAACTCTCCGATACAAATAAATTCAGTTGCATTCACCTCAGTTTGATCCTATTTATAAAATGACGCCCTCAAAATCCATTTATAGCAAAAGATGGTAAAAACAATCATCTATTCGAGGGAGCCTAGCTGGTTGTGTCATGTTATCGACTCTGCAGAAATCTTTCAGAGGCAGGAGTTGACAGTTTATATTGAGTTAATTCATTCTGGAGTTGGCTAGTCGTTTCTGCTTCTCTTGTACAACTTAACTGGGAGATTGAGCCATGAGAAAAATAATAATAAACATGTTTCTCAAATATTATTTTTAATTGGTGTAATTATGTACACATGTTAATTAGTTTAATCCCCCATGTGTTACTATATAAATCCCCTAAAGGTAACGCAGTACTTGATTGAGCAAATATAGGATCATGCAGTCTGGTTTTGAGTGACCAAGTGTTCAGATGTGAGATTTGGTCTCTGTTTTTCCCTACAATATTTTTCAGAGAAGCAATTTTTTTTTTGTACCTGAATATTCCTCTTGGTAGTTTATATATTTTCTCCTACCAAATGACATTTAATGAACGATTCCAGGTAACCATGGGTGTCTTCAGTATATTGTGTAGCTATAAAAGATGACAGTATAAGCTTTTTAATCTCCACGAAGAGATTCTATTTTGTGATTATTAAGTCCTCTTTTTTCTGCTTCGTGGGTAAGTTATGGAGTCCTACATAAGCTTGTGAGTCCTCTTGACTTATTTGTTCCCTCTTAATGTAAATTATTTTTCTTTCTGTATCAGAAAATAAACAGCTTATTATAGAGCTGGCATGATATTTTGTTTAAATCACCAAAGGAAACAGAATAATACATGTACAGTACTTTAAAAAAAAGATTCCTACCATTTAAACTTGCTCACGTTTTCTGAAATTTTTAACAACAACCTCAACATATTTTAATGGAATTTCAACAAAAATTAGAGCATACTTGTGAAGTGAATGGAAGACATTTTAGAAAAAAAAAAAACTTTTCATGTGTGGAGGGAAAGTGACAGTATTCATAACCCTGACCGTACATGGTGGTTGCAGCATCATGCTGTGGTCATACAGAAAGATGTTCAGAGTTGATGTGAAGGTGTGTGTGTGTGTGTACGTGTGAGTTGGAGGTGAAAGGGTGAATTAACTTAAATGAATTAAGTAAATCTTAGCTGCAGAGATAACTGCAGCTAATGGTTGCTTGCCAAAGTTTTAATTCAGAGGAGCTGAACATGAATACATTTTCTACATTCTTCCACTTCACAATTATGCGCTGCTTTGTGTTGGTCCGCCACGTAAATCCTCATTGAGTTAAATTTAAGTTTGTGGTTGTAATATGGGAAAATGTGGAAAAGCTTAAGGGACATCAATGGTTTTTCAGGACATGTAATTATTTAGTAACATTGCTTTTAGACCACTCTTGTATTTTGGCTACATTTTAAAAATACAACGTTGGTAAAATAATGATGAACCAGTGCCAAAGTGACTGCTGCAAACCAGTGATTTAAGTACCACACATGCATTTAAGCTTCTAAATGCAGAAATTGTTTTAAGCCGAATATTGTAATTTATCTCTGACGCTCTTCATTACGTTGCAAGACAGGTGATGCCTTAACTTCGGTAATGTGGTGATTTTTCCATTTATGTTAGAATATGTGTATTTTTCTTGTACTATACATAGAGATTGAATAACTGCCTTATTTATTTCAGTCTATTTTGTTACT